TTATATTGTTTGTAAGTTTGTGAAACTTTTGTTTATAAATCTTTGTTTGTAATAACTATTGTTAATAATTGTAAATTGTATTGTTGTATGCATATTAAAATGTATTTGTGTTAAAAATGAAGACGGTGTGTATCAATCTTGTTGGCAAATATCGTAAATTAACTAATATATCGGCATATATTTAAATACTAAATTCAAAGTACAATCTAACTACAAAATTTAAATCTATCACTTGACTCAATTTCAGGGCATTTGAAATTCCAATACATAACAGTAAAAACAAGATGGAACACAAAATTTGATACTACAAAGTCTATACCTCCTATAAAATAAGACAAATTAGGAGTGAGACAACTTAGAATACCACACTATAACTGCTATATTCAGTACTAGTAAGAAAATGATCAATTACTCCATTAAATCAATAAATTAACAATTCTTTAATGACGTCTCTTAATTACCTTAGCAAAGATTATCAGTTTACCTGAACAGTCTAGAACCCAGATGAGACAGAAAAGTAGATCCTGGAAAACTTGAAAACACCATGGCACTTGGAAAAATCTAGACTTTGAGAAGGGGGAAAAAAACAACAACATAAATCAAACAAAATAATTTATATAACTGTTGAAGGAAAAATTTAATCTAAACACACAGTCATTATAGTGATCCAAATATATCTGCATTATTATTTAAAGGTGTGATGTACATGTACACCAAAGTAAGACTGAAAATATTTCTTATCATTCTTTACTTGTCCAATAGTTTCTACTGGACAAAATATATAACAGAATTTCAACTACAAAGCATGTAGCTGCTTACAAGAACTCATCAGGCTAGCTGGATTTCAAGGGTTATATTTGAAGTGCTATTTATTATATATCTATGAAACATCAAGTATAATGAGGTATAAAAGTAAAAACTAGTGAGGTTTGACACCTTACTTAATAGACAACTCCAGAATCATTATACCGATAAAAATATTTAAATATATACATACTATAACTAACTCTGTAAACAAAGAAACATTATTAATCATGCTGCATACTACCGATTGAAAATTAGCTTGATAATATAATACACAAGAAGGTAATATGTGGATAATCTGTTGACTGACTAGCATTAATCAGTTTAGTGCTTAATGAGACTGTGTAAGGATCTGTCATTTTTATAGGACATGTTTACTAGATGTATTTCTGCAGGGTCCCCAAAAGTGTTCTGTTTCAAGAGTAAATAAAACCAAAATTATGAGCAATAAATATTTTTATTTCTTGCTTTTCAAGTTCATATGTCATGCTGTGTTGTAACCTACTGAATACATTATTCTTCTCATGATTCATGGCATGCTCACATGTTACTGATATCAACGACAGTACAAATTGAAACATTAAGCATCTCTTATATGATGTCATTTTAGTGTCTACGGACTGACAGACAACACACTACTGTATAGTGGTGCGAGTGGTGAAAACAGTTGATCCCTCCAGGCTGCCTTCCACCTCCTTTTGGAAAAATAACAGTATATAATGAGAATTATGTAAATATTCTAATGACAAACTTCTGGGGAAAGATACAACCAAGAATATTGTTTTGATTCTGATACATCTCTATAAGTTTTCTGATGTACCAAAAATGTAGGAATGTTCTTCCCAATGGAGAAGAGTAAAACTAGGCATTTATATACATAATTGCTTGTTGAATGAGAAATACTGGTGCTATGAAAGAAGAGAAAGAACCGGGTATTATTTGTTGAGAACAAAAAATCCAGCTGAGTGTCTCACTGTGGTGACTGTAGCTCATAGTGACCTTTACGTACCTACAGAACATCTGATTTTAAAAGCGAACTCTGAGATGACTCAACAGCAACTAAAAACATCACATGGATGCTAAAACATTAATACAAGACATCAAAATTGTTAAAAAATTCCCCAACTAAATGTTAATATCTTCCTTTACATTCCAGCATATTCTGGAGTCCACCATTTTCCTTCCATCCTCTCTGCTGTGACATATAAGCATGACTACATCTATGAAGACATGGAAGGTGGGTTCAGATAACCCCAAGATGTCAGGTGTGATAGCTATGCAGCTGTTCATAATTTCATTGGAGAAGGCCCCTGTCAATGTGGAGGAGCAGATGAAAAAGAATTGCAACAGTTCCAGAAGAAGGTTGGAGTCCTGGATGAATATGATAAAATTCCCTGTCAGATGATGCTTTTCTGTGAGAGAAGTTAAACATGGTATGTGTGCACTCCCCTGGTGGGATCATAAGATTATGCATCCAGGTAGAAACTTCCTACATCTCTGTTTGATCAAGCAGGAAGTAGACCACAAAACAGCCACTCATTAAACAACTGCTATAACTTCCACCACCACCTAACTAGTGGAGAACCCAAAGTGGCAACACTGGCAATGAAAAGACCAGCTGTAGCAGCAGTTTCCATCATGAACACCAGGGCATCAACCTCTACCACTCCACCTATGGCATTCCCTACCAAGGCTCCCATGGTGATATTGGAGAGGATAGTGCTACTTGTAAAGCCCCCAACCAAGATAAAACAGCAATTTGTGCTGTAGCAGATAATGGTTTAAAAGTGCCATGTCAAGATCAGGCAGCCAGATAGACACAAGTCTGGGCACTTTATAACATGAGAAGGACACCATCTGCTAAATCAGGAACAGCTTTCAAGACAGTTAGAGAAAGAGGTGTATTAAGTCCAAAAGGATCTTGTGAGAGCCAAAGAGAATACTTCACATACTATCATGGATGTGTTGGAGAACTTGCTATCAGAACTCCTTTAGCGGAGTTAAATTATCCTCTTTTCATCTCATTTGTAAAGTTACGATATGTTATACCTACACAACTATTCTGCACAGTAAATATTCATGTATCTTATTTTTGCATGGTGTATATATGTTTAAGTCATGATACATGTATCTGTAAAATGCATATATGTAATTTCTCATTTAACTACAGTTTCATATGGTTTTAATTTGTTGATTATTTTTTAAGTTTCATCTGTATTAAAGGTTTGTCATTAATAACTACTTTTGTTAAATGTTTTTATGTTACAAGTAGCTTATTAAACTATACTCTTCAAAATGGGGTAGGTTTTTCACTGTTAAAGAATTATTTTCTTATGTTTTAATTAGTACCATGTTGTAACTTGTCAAGAGTATTACATGTGGTTTTCTTTGTTTAAGGGTTTTATTTATGTACTTTTGTTTTATGCACACTCAGCAGGGCTTGGATTTAAGGAAATTTCCAGGTTGTCCTTAGAACAACCAGACTTGTATCAAAAGTTGTCCAGTAGGCTGTATTTGTTGCCCCCCACTCCCAAAATACATAGACCCTCAAAATTTTTATATTTCCAAAAAGTAGAATTAATGTTTAGTTGGTAATTTTGCATCTTTTTTCAACTAATTTTTGATGCCTTATTTCCTGGGAAATTTGTTACATTGGAAAATATATGCACAAACCATGCTAATGTTACATTGTATCTTAAAGAAACAAACAGTCAATGACCTGTAAAACTTTTAAACAGAACAGCAATCTTGGCCAATCACATTCAATGTTATTATTCTAACCAGTTGGGACTGCCCACCAAGTACAACATGTAGTAAGACTAGACTTGCATCTGAACTCTCACACATACTACTATACCGTAATATGTACACAATGCCTAGGCACTGCACATGTACACAAACACACTGCTGATATGTACTGTCATTCATACTCAGTTTTTATTGACTTGGAGAGAGGCAAAACTAACCTTATTTTTTGTTATTCTGTTTCATACTGATCAAAACTTTAATAAAATTTTATTTGCAGTTATCATTATTATTCTCTGTTTAATTTGTGCATTTTCTCACTATTTTCATGGTAGCTAGGCCTTCAGTTTTTCCTAGACTCGATTGGTGATGTCTGTGTAACATTAGTCTTATGCCTATACGTGCATAATTCAAAGGGGGTCAGTGTTTCAACTGTGTCGATTAGTGATGAAAATTCTAACTTTGACTTTGTAAACTTGATCATTTTAGTTCCTACTGAAGGTTTATCAGTAAGAAGTTGAGATAGCAGTGTTAGTTTTATTGTTGTAAGCATCTATACTAGAAATTAATCTCACTAAAGCTAACATTTTTCTAAACTGAAAACTTATTTCTGATAGATAACTCCTCTCATAAAATAGCTTTTTTCGATTAGTACTGCCCTCTATCAGCACAAATTTTCCATGGTCGCCACTAGCCTTCCACCTCCTGCTTCTGCTATCCACATGTAAATGATTATGCAGCAGCATGACACAACTCCTATTGTAACCAGCACCCTCTCCACATTGGCACTCCTTTATCACTTCGAGATTGGTCATAGGCCTAATCTACACCATATGTCACCGGAAGTGGGGAGGCTGGGTGGGAAATGTGAGAGGAAATAAGTATCTATTGGAAATACATTTTCAGTTTAGGAAAATGTTAACTTCAGATATGATATCTTATCTCTGCTTAGAAAAATAGCTAGAATCCCACACTGAACTGGTGGAGGGCCTGTGAAAAAATTATCCCCCTTTAGGAAGTGCCCAAAAGAGAGACCATGAGGTGTGGAAAAAAAAAAATATCACACCACATCTGATCCAGGAATACTCTTTGCTCTTTTTTGACTGTACAGTGAACATAAAAGTCAGAAAAACATGAAGGAATCCTGTAATACATATAACTCTTGTGTCAAGTGGCTAGGACACAACAGACTGTACTGGTAGTTCGACATCATCCAACACCTGGCAGCATCTGGAATTGTACATTGTTTACGTAACAGGTAGAGGATCACCTACCTCTTCACCTTGAAATGGGAATTGGTAGCAAAGACGAGCTTCTGTACCCAAATCCGCTTTTACTTGCACGCATTTCCAACTCAACCAGCACCTGATCCAACAATTGACATCAAGTAGATGGTAGGAAGGTGGAAAGTCTCAGTGGGATGACATCTCTGGCAGCATTTGGTATGTTTCTTCCAGTCCATGGTAGGAGGAGGATACATGACCATACACAAGTGGGAATACATGTGCTGCATCCAGTCATGACCAACACCAGATTCATTGGGAACCAGCAGACAGTAGGAAGAAGGACTGCAAACCTGGCATTGGGCATTTTTCATCCAGTCCTTGGTAGTAAGAGGGATAACATGTGAAGACTTACTTAGCTCGACCATCTCCAACCAACAACCGTGCCCCTGGTAACTGCATCCAGAAGATGGTAGGTAGTAGGAGAAACATCTCAACCTGAGGTGCAAACTGCTACAACCAAAACCAAAAACAACCAAAAAATTGTACATTAGGTCCATGGTGGGGAGTACTATACACCACTGACACCCAAAAATGCCACTCCCCTACTCTCAACAGTGGTATGATGCATCACTCAGAAGGACAGGCCTCCAATGTCCACCACATCAGTGGCTAGGAACTGATAAGTAGCAAGAACTCTCATATTCCATTACAAGAAAGGAGGGAAAAATGCATTGGAGAGTCTGGAGGACCACACCACTGGAGACAGTGTAACGGGTGCCCACGATACACTATATTAAAAAGCAAAGTTACCACGTTAACAGAGTCAATCAACCAACACCTAGTGGCATCAATTGAATGAAGACACAAACAACCAACTCCCAGCAGCATCTGGAATTGAGCATCATGTCCATGATAAGAAAAGCTACAACATAAGTGACATCAAGCCTGGTCACAGGATGGACAGGCAAGATTTTCCAAAAGAATAAAAAATACCTGGTCAGGCACCACTCACCACAGAGTGAGATCCACAATACACTAGCAAAAAAGGCCACTGTAAAGAAAGAAATAACTAAAACATAGTGCTCATCAATCATAATGCTACAGTGGCGTGTAAGATATTGACTGGAGATAAACAAAAATCTACTGAGCAAGAAACAACCACATGATGTAAATAATGTGAAACATAAGTAAGACAGAAATGGGCAGACAGGGACATGGTGAGGTGATGGATGTGACAAGAAGGTATCCTAAAAAGGTGACACTCCTCAGGCAAAAGAGATGAATACACCTACCTAACGAACTGGCAAATTCAACTTGTAAGGGTAATTGGAGAGAGGTTCAGGGACATGGAAGGATTCTATGGAATAAATGAATGGTTACAGGAACCATGTATGGGAGCAGGTCAAGGGAGTTACTATCAAAGGGTTTGGACTGGACATAAGAGGCAATCAGGATCAGAATGGTCAAAAATGAAGGAAAAGTAGGATAAGGAAATGGAAGAAAAAGTAGGAATATCCTCCCTAGCAGCAGAAGTTGCAGGCAAAAAGGGGAGAACATAGGAACTGTGGAACATAACATGACAAGTGTCAACTGCAAATATCTCAGATTGCTGCCAGCCACAAGCCAATAAAATGAGGAATAGAGAAACTTAAGGAAAGGAGATACATGAAACACAAAGATAAAGGTTCAAATGGAGGATGAGTGAGAGCATGAAGGACAACATGGAGATTCCAATCCAGGAGAGAGAGAGTGCATGGAAGATGGGAAAGGGAAAATGAACAAAACAACAAAGACAACATGGAAGATTGGAAGACAAAGTTAAACTCTGTAAATCTGAACATGCAAGATAATGTAGCTCGATAGCTGGCAATTAAGTAAATTGACAGTCCTTTATCAAAGAGCTAAGTGAAAAATGCAGTCAACTGTGGTAGGGAAGGTTGTGAAGGATGATATCTTTGGCAAAGAACCAACAGCAAAAAGTATACCATTTATGCTGATAAAGTGTAAAAGAGGAAGGACGTACAGGATTGGCAAACAACGAGGCAACGCACCTGGAAAATCTGTATTGTTTGGCGATGGACCATACCACATGAAGCCGAAAGGCGAGAATTCCAAGTAAACCCTAAACTACCTCCTGTAGATGCTGGTGAAAAACCAGGATCTCTGAGGGGGGTAAGTAACAGGATGAGGAGACAACAAGGAAGGGGAGTGGAAGTGAAAGGCCAGACCTACTGAAAGTACCTGTAGAACCCATGGTAAATAATGTCCACATATGGTAAAAATGGAAAAGCCTGGCTCCCACTAGCCTCAACTCTGGGGCTGAGTCACCGACTCTCTAATCCTCTGAAATGCCTTCGAATAACACCTTGACTGTGAATGGATGAAGATCAAGAAGCCAGGACTGGCAAAGGGTTGGACCGGGGAGGGGAGGACGAGATACAGAAACAGTAAGAGGTTGAGATAAACGAGAATAATGAATTATGTAGATAAGTGGACATAACTCAGGCCTCCAATAAGTCAAGAAAACCCCAAACACCTTTTCACGCAAAAAAAAAGGTGCCATGCACAATTTGTCGGGAATGTAGCAAATAAACCTACTCAAAAAAGAATGGCATCTCAACTCAGAAGGTTCCAACTGTATACAAGCCATGTCCAAAGAGCCAGGGCTGAAGATGAAAGGTGTGCTATTGCAGTAAACAAAAGACTGCACACATCATCTGAAAACCCTTCAGGAGACAAGTGAATTGCCTGAGCTAGAAAGTGCATAGTGAATAATGCATGCAGAATTATGGACAACATCATTCTGATACGGGAATTGAGGTTGTGAGAAATTCATCGATGCAATAGGGTTCAAACCCCACAATGTAATGAGATTCCAAACGTTGGTAATCAAGATAAGGAAGGAAGATCTATGAAATGCATAATCATGATCTGCAGATGTATAATGCAGACAAGGCATAATAGCCCCTGACCAAAGTTGATCCCCAAAACACTGAGCATGAACCCCAACATCAGGTGAGGGATGGAACACTAAATTTTGCCCCATATATTCTTCACCAAAGAAGGGTAAGTTGAGAATCACAGGAAATAGGAGATAAGGATATAAGAGTACAAAAAAAGTAATAAAAGTTGGAAAAGCAACCTTTCATAATTTAAAAACATGAAACATTAAAGAAAAATGAAGTTTGTAGTATAAAGGAAAAACGCCGTCAAACTTGCAAGCAAAAACAAGCACATCTGCACAGTACTACTGCTAATCAAGAAGTGATTAATGAGTGCAAATATGGAGAAAGAACTGGTTACAATAGGAGTTGTATCGCGCTCCTACTGGTAATAGCTGCCGCATACTCATTTACATGTGGATAAGCAGAAGCAGGCAGTGAATGGCTAGTGGCAAGTGTTGAAAATCTGCACCAATAGAGGGCAGTACTAATCAAGTAAAGCAATTTTGTGAAAGGAGGTAAGATACGTTATCAGATAATTCGTGTTCATCAGTGTTAGTTTTCATTGTGAATTCCCACCCGCCCATGCATACAAACATTGTGCAATACAATTTGTAGTAATGTAACTAACTGAGCTATATACACTATACTGTGTTACCACACACAGCCATTTACATTCACTTGAACTCAATACAAAATCTATGTACATAAAGCAACACAGAGATACTGCTTGTCCACTATAGAAAGTTTAGTGGCTAAAACTGCATTACTAGCCAATTACAAAAGCAAACGTTTTATAATGTTTTCAGCCCCTTCTGGTGGATTGTACCAATATTTATCTTGTACAATCATTTTTAAAGAAAATATGGACTAAAAGGTATTTTAGGGGGGGGGGGTCAAACTTTTGAGTTCTAAGTTAGGGAACTTACAGATGATCTTGGTCGAGGATCGGAGTCAACATTACACGTGTAGTGTGGGCATGGATAAGTGTACAGTAGACTGCAATGCTGTTTTGAGTAAAGATCTGTTCCTGGGTGCTAGTCGCCTGTCGAACAACATGGGGGTTTAACTGTTTAAGTTGGTCGTCCGAGAAAGTTTTTAGTCATCCCAAGTGAACGGACGACAGTTAAAACTGAGCCCTGTGCATAGTCTGTTCAGTTATCCTCTGTTAAAGTAATAGGTGAACTAAGTTAAATGCTTTCATTGCTAAAGGGTATTTTGTGTATTTGTAATGCAAAGTTTATTTGTAAGAGTAGTTTGTTAAGACACCACCTCCTAAAGGGACAGGCAAGTTGTTAACAGCTCATTAGTATTACCTTACTTAGTTAAGTAATGCTAGACAAGTGATTTCATCATGGGGAGGGGGGTGATCTGCCTATTTTTTTGTTATATAGTTAGGGACAGCTGGGTTGGCTTGGAAAGAGAGATGAAGGAAGTATGTAGTATTGGGATGTATTAAATATTTTCCATCCAATTAGTTACAATAAAGTAGTTTTTAAATTATGTCATCCTTCATAGTTACCCTTTCAGATTCAGAGAGCTGCTCAAGCAATTTATTCACTTCAGCTTTCTTTAAATAGAAAGCAGAATACTATGTGTACATTTTAAATTGTTTGGGCCACTTAGAGGAATAGTAAGGCATATAATTAACGATCTGAGCTATTCTTATCATAGAAACAGGCATTAGCTGAAGGCATCATGCCCTTAGTCTGCACACCTCCCCTTAGTTAACTGAGGTAACTAGTACAAAATATGAGCTTTTGTGTGCTAAAAGACCAAGGCTAATTGGCATATTTAAGTTTAATCTTGTTGGGCAGCTCAGATTTGTGGAAAGTTTTAGCTGTTTTTAAATAAAAAAACTTAAATAAAATCACAACATATTTGTCTTTTCTCAACAAACACCAAGATACTTTAACCTATACCTGGAATCATCCTAGTAGCCCTCCTCTGAACATTTTTCAATAATTCAAAGTCCTTTCTTAGATAAGGAGACCCAAATGAGGTTCAACTATTGATTTGTATAGATACTTTTCTCTTTTTTTTACTTACAATCAGTATGTGTAAATGCAACTAAAAATTCTGTGATTGGCATATCCACCATGTCAAAATCCTTTTTTTTTATTACACTATTATGTGGGTTTCCCTTTATATAAATTGGGTGATGAAAAGTATGAAAACCCTATTGCATTATCTTGCATTTACTATAATTAAGAATCATTTAGTAAATATTTCTCCAACCTGCTAATTGATCCAAGTTATTCTGTAGTACCTTAACATCCTCAATATAGCTAGAAATATCCACGAATCTAATGTTATAAGCAAATTTTACTATTTAACATAGATAAAAACCAAAGTATTGATCCTTGAAGCTCCCCACTAGCAACAGGTGTCCAGTTTGTCTAGACTTCATTAATAACAACCTTTTGCCTTTTCTCGTTCAATCACCCATAGTCCAATTACCTAGTCTTTCCCTGACCCGTGCCAAGATGATTTTTTTCGTTTAGCTAATCTCCTATATGGCACCTTATCAAAAGCTTTTTGAAAATCTAAGTTCTTTGAATCCATACCCATTACAATAACAAGTAACACAGATAACATCTTTGAAAAAGGTTTACAGATTAGCAAAACAAGATTTCTCTTTAGTAAATCACTGCTGGCTTCTTTTATATTTTATTAAATAATCTTGCAAAGCTTTGTTAATTAGGCACTCTAGAATTTCTTCCTTATAGAAGTAAGACTAACTGGCATACAATCTCTGGGGTAACTCTTACCATCTCCTTTAAAAATAGGACTTCAGGCACTTATCCACTAGCTGTTGACCTGGCAAAAATGAGAGGTGCTTGAATATTCAATTTTTAAAGTCCTAAGAAAAACCTTGTCTGGTTCTGGTGCTTTATTCTTAATCTCTCACTCTTTTTACTTATAATCTTGTGAGTAACATCTAAATCACTGAGGTTAATTTCAGCATTTCACATAAAATGCTGTAGGTCCAGAATGCTGCAAACATATTCTTTTATAAAAACTGAACACATATTTAAATGCTCAACCATTTCATAACCTTCAACAAAAACATTTTCCAATCTACATTTCAACATTTGCTCACCTTTAACATACTTAAAAAAAAAGCTTTTGTTAGTTTTTACATCATAAGCCTGTTGTTTCTTCTAAGTCCTATTTGTTAATAAATTCCCTATCTATTGTATAGTTATGTAAATTTTTGTAAATTTAGACTTCTTAAACACATGGCATTTATCCTTGGTTTTCTCTTTAATTCTTTTAGTAGGCTACTTAGGTTTAATTTTCCCTGCTATCCTACCCCTCCTCTAGAAACATGTCTTATCTTGAATTAAAATTGTCTTAAAAAAATACTTTAATCTGTCCCACACCACCTTTTAATTCATTATACCAATTAACTAATGATAAATTTTGTCTTGTGACTTCAAAATTAACCTTCTGAAAATTAGAAACTAAGATTCATTTTTCTTGTCCTAACATGTTCTCCAAAAGTGGTCAAGTTTCATTAAATCCAATTATATCACAGTATTCCATTTCAACCTCATCCTGAACTCACCAATTTTATTCCTAACACTTCTAGCATTATAATAATAGCAACTAAACTTAATCTTGAATCTACACGTTACTTTAAATCTGATAATAATCTTTAAATATTACTTAACTGGTTATGCTTCCCCTCTCTTTTTTCAGTATCTTTAATCCCTAGCTATTCTACTAGTTTGTTCATTCCCAATTTTCCAAGCTCCCTCAAATCTCTGCAAATCTAAACTATTTTTCATGAATATTTTTAAAGGTTCCCCTAAAATCACATTACTTAGCCTGATTAAGAGCAGCTCACCTCTAGCATATAATTCACCATTATACTGAAAACTATCTCACATGTTTAGTCAGCTAATTTGTTGTTATAAACATATCCCTGAGAATTTTTTACTTAAGTACAACTCCCATCTTATTTCTATCTCTAAACATCTGAAGAAGATCTTTATACTTTTTAAGCAGCAATTAAACTGTTAACATGTTCTATAATATCCTCTACTTTACTACCTGAGAAGCAAATCTAAGTCTTTCAATGCCCCACTAATAAATAACTTTTTTCAGTACACTTAATGAAAGATTCCTAAACTATGTAAACTTCTTATTCACTTTATTCCTCATTTCGAGCAGCCAAAGGTTTAAATCTATTAGAAACTGGTACCAGAGTGCTAACTGAACTTAATTATATAATCCTAACTTTTTTCACTACTGTGCACCTTTGTAAACCCAGCACTCCCATTCTCAACCATCCTGAAACAACTTTTAACTATAATGCTATACACTTCCAATCTCAATTCCTTGATTTCTACCCCTAATCAGCTATTTTAACAACAACAACAACAAAAAAGAAACAGAGAGAGAGAGAGAAAAAACCCATGGATAACAAGGGACCATTTGGACCTTCAAGGCTGTACCTGTGCACCCACCCTTTACTTTTTAGGAAATCATCAATTTCTTTCTTAAACTCCTGAAAAGTACTTTTCTTCACTAATGCCAACAATACTCATTCCATAAGTCAATCAACCTTTTACAAAAATGAATTGTCTGCATTTCCCAAGTCTTAAATGTGTATTCTCACGTTATTTTCAGAATACAGCTCAAACAAACGAAACACCTTTATCCCATCAATCCCCCAAAAATAAACTTCAATGAAATTATATCCCACCTTTCTTTTCTCAAGAGAAAATAAGTTATCTCAATCTCTACATATAAAAGAACATTTCATCCCTGAAATCATCCAGGTAGCCTTACTGTTAAACCAAATTCCAATAAGTCATTATCCTTTCTCAGATAAGGAGACAAACTGTACACAACATTCCAAGTGAGGCCTACCTTTTGATATAATTACCTCTTTAGACTTTTAAACAGTATGTCTATAAACATACCCAAAAACTCTACTGGCTATTCTACTAACAATAGAGCACTACTTTAATGGTTTGAATGGCATATCCATCACTATGCAAAGGTCCTTTTCTTCAGCCACACTAATGAGTTGGTTCCCATGTACATTAAATGCATTACCTTGCACTTGCTATTATTAAAAGTCATTTGCCAAATATTTGTTCATCTCTGATGACTGATTTATGTAATTCTGTCATACATCAACATTATCAATACAGCTAGAAATACTTAAAACTTTAATTATGCTTCTATGTCAGTAAGAGTACCCAACTGATAAAACAATGAGTTGTAATCTTTATAAGTAAAAACACGAAAAAGTATAGTTAATTAGTTAGGTGGATTTTTAGTTTTGCTCTAAGTAGGTAGCTTACTCTCATCAAAAGTTAACATGAATTAACGCAAATAAGAAAAAGCAAAGGCCCAAACACTGAACTCTCCTCTAGTAATAAGGGTCCAATTTGGCTAAACTTTATTAAGAACAAGCATTCTAAAATCCAATAGATTAGTCTTTCCCAACCCCTATCAATGTGATTTTCTTAGCTAATCTTTTGGATGGTATTTTATCCAAAGCTTTTTGAAAATCTAAGTACATCAAATCCACACCCTTACCCTCATCCAGATAACAAGTAACATCTTTGAAAAAAAGATAGATTATAAGGAAAGATTTGCTTTTGGTGAATCCATGTTGGCTTTAAGAGTGCAATATTCCCTAAATCATATCTAATTTATGAAAAATAACTATTCTAAACTTTAATAATCTGAAAAATAAAATTCAGTGTCTGTGCATCATGTAAATATTCCTCAACCACTGGTCACACTGACTTCTAAGTGATATCAAACGAATTGTCTCAGCCTCAAGGTTTGCACAAAATTAAAACTTCACCAAACCCCTTAGGGAACCAGGGTATTTTACAGAATCACTTTCACAGAGATTCCCCAAAAGTGGACTCCAAATTTAGCATTAATTTACATTAGAGCACATAAATAAGTAGGCCTACTAATTACCATTCATCACTTGGTTAACCCTCAATTAGTCACATGGTAAAATGGAACATATGTAGTCACCTGGGGTCATTATGACCCCAATGCATTATTTACATTACTATGAAGCTCAAACTCTTATAATATGTTTTTTGTCCAAAACCTTGTTTGTAATAAAAGCCTTAGATTATAGCCTACGATTTTAAAACATAACATATTACAGTGGCAGTAAGTCCTTTTCTAGCCACCAATAAAAAACAAAAGCCAAAGTTTCAAAATGAAGATGTACAAAAAGTAATTAGATATCATCTAAAACAAATGATTAAACAGAGAAATGAAAATAAAGAAGGGATACAGAATAAAGACATCTTTTAGCCATAAACACATAAGAAAAAACACACAAAATCAGGTGAATTAAAATCCTAGAACAAGAAACTGACCTTGCAAAAAAATGTAACCCAAGTAGTCACGTGGGATAAATATTACCCTAGTCTAAAACTTTGCAAAAACCTACAACTGTAGAGCACTGATGAAGACTGCATCATGGACACACACAATTAAGGAAGATACTGTGGATGGGGGCCAAGTAAAGTGCAATCGGTGCTACTATAGCGTGCAGTCTACCAGGACTTTTACACTATAGCATGCGGTCTACCGAGACTTTTACACTATAAACAAAGCATATAAAGATGTTGAATAATAGCAGTCTACCTGGGATATTTACACTGCTAAATAATTTATTAATGATCATTATTATGATAAAAAACAAAACACAAAATTGGCTACATAATTATTTTTAATGACATACACTTTGTACCACATCGTTAACAAATGATTTACATTTAAATCCTTTAACGATATACACTTCGTACATCATTTACAAATGCCACAAATGAACCATCTGCATCTTTTCTTAGCACTTTCCAGCAAATGTGATCAAGGTATGATTGAAACAATGCCACAAATAAATCATCTGCATCCTTTCTTAGCACTTTCCAGCAAATGTGATCAAGGTGTGATTGAAACAGCTCGGTGCTACTATAGCGTGCGGGCAGTGTAAATATCCCAGGTAGACTGCTATTATTCAACATCTTTATATGCTTTGTTTATAGTGTAAAAGTCCCGGTAGACTACGGACACTTCGGTAGACCGCACGCTTTAGTAGCATCGATTTATCTTTCACGAATGGAAGCTTATTTCGGATAGGCCTGATTATTAAAACTATTTAACACTTAGATGGAATATACAGTTTTCTGAGGACCTTTGCTCAAGAGAAGAATTAAAGTTCAGTAAATATTATATATAATTCGTTATTTTTAATTTTTTAAATGACAAATTTCACTTTTCAACAAAAATGTGTATTTTTGCTGATTATCCCTCTAGTGGTATTAGCCGGAAGTGCAGAGCTAAGTGACTTAGAAGATGCGGTTTAATTTTTGATTGGCATTATTGCTTTCTTTTTATTTAAAAAAAAATTACATAATTAAAATCATCAGATATCCTCTAGACCTAACTTAAGGTTTGTGAGCATTTTAAGGCATATATGTTTTATTTGAAATAAAGACACTTAATTTTGTAATATCTTGGCTTATGTAAATAAACATTTATGTAATTAATATTAAATTAATAATAATGTTTCTTAATTGTTTGCATCAGTAAAAAAAATTAATAATAATATATATATATTAATTTTTATATAATATATAACTTTCATATTACTTTTCATGATGATAATGAAACCTGTATTTAGTCCCGAACTTATTTATTAATATTATTATTGAAGGCAGGAGTTGGAAACTATAGTATAACTATAAGAGCATGACTCCTAAAACTGAAAACTAAAATGCTTTGTTACTGTTAGTAACACTGCAACTAACAATGTTACGAATATTAGAACTTGAGAGTTAAATTTACACAAGGCTGGCGAAAGATGCATGGGTGGGGGTTTAAGTGTGCATTCCTTGAACTTGTACAGATTGCTATTCAACAAAGTATTATGCATCTGATGTCTAAGTTATCAACATATCTTACCCTACATTGCTGATTTGGCAATAGTTCATGTTTAAGTAGAGAAAAAACACACAAAATGAACTAGATATGCATTTAGGAGGCTGTAAAGGCTATTCAGATGTAATTTGCAAACTGTGTGATGGACAAAAGTATTTTTATTATTCACATGAACATCATCTTGCACTCTGACTTGCTAAAGTCTGAGACAGACAGACTTCAGGATTTCACAGACATATACAATATGTCAGAGGTGATCTGGTGCCTTTTATTTCGAGACATGAAGCACCAATTAAAGTTTCACTATTTTTGTCTTTTGTTCTGTTGCAGTTCATAATCTAAAATGTATGTAATTTTTAGTTTGTACAACTTCCACTAACATTAAAATTATCATAACATTTTAGCTCCAAATTCAGACTCTGGAACAGCTTTTAATTTCTTCAGCTATGGAAGTGATAAAAATGTATAGAACTTCTACTTTTATAGAGCCTGAAACTGCAGCTCAACATTGACAGTTTAAATGAATGTGCATATAGTCAGTCCAATGGACTGACCCTGAATTGGAAAAGTACTGTTGATTATAATTCCAAATTTAAGAAGCGTATTTTCACAAAATGTGGTTAGTTTTTCATCAACTGTACAAATCTATTATACACAAAAGATCAGATATGTAACTAAAGTTTTTGTACTAAATGGGGGGGGGGGATATTTTGAGTTTTGGGATAATTTAAACATTATTGAAGATACTAGTTTGGATTGGGCTGGAAAAAGTAATGTAATTGACTGTGTCAGTCAAAAGTCATCTTGTAATACAACCGAGACATTCTTACAATTGATTATAGTTTCC